TTTTTTTTTTTCCAAGACAGGGTTTCTTTGTAACAGCCCTGGCTGTTGGTCTTGGACTAACTCTGTTCTCTGTTGACCGGGCTGATCTTGAACTCAGAGAGATCCGCCTGCCTCTGCTTCCTGAGTGTTGGGATTAAAGACTCGCACCAAGGCCAGGCAGGCAGGCAAAGTTGTTTCTTAAATGAAGTATTTCCTCATACCAAATTTCCTAATCTAATCTATATGTGTCTTCTAAAGGAAAGTATCACATGCCCTCGGGACTTTAGTCCTTTATTAGGTGTCATTTGCAATACTTGATAATCCAAGTGCCTGAAGTGTGCCCGAGTTGTCTTGTAACCAAACTCATGCAAAGGCTGTAACGCCCCCTCAGAAAACAATCACTGTTTTCCACAACGATTCTGTGCTCTCTACTACAGTGATCTTCAAGGTCCATGTCCTTCTAGAAAACAGCTGTTCACTCTAATGTCCACCCCAGATGCAGCGGCTCTCTAAATTCCTACAGCAGTCTTCGAAGGGACAGCCCTAGCCATCAGTCTGATTGAGGACGTTGAGTGACGGTGTCTAGTAGGGATCACTGACAGACAGGGCAGTGGGCAGAACAGGCCCAGCCCCAGCCTCGTGCAGTTTAGCTTCTACTGGGGGTGGCGCCCAGTCACTGCCTGCGTGTTCTGTGCCTGTAAAGCAGGGTGCTGTGTGTAGAGAGGAAAGAGGCAAAGAATGCGACTCTGATGCTGGTGAGAAAAGGCAGCCTAGGTCTCCTGACATGAAAGAGACCGGCACGGATCCCCGGGAATGTAGACTGAGACTGAAACAGTCCAAGCTCCCGTGTGGTGGCCGGCTGGCATGCCCAAAGCATGGCAAGGCAGGACTGCCCAGAGTACCCCCGGGAAGAGACGGGCAAGTAGGCAGGGCTCCGTGAGGACTGACTGGCAGGTCCCTAGAGTGACTTGGCAGGGCTCTGAGCTGAGAGATCCAGCAGATACAAAGAAGAGGGATAGAAAGCCTGAGCCTAGTTAAGAAGCACAACAGGAGCAGGTGACAGATTTGATGTCAGAGCCTGGACTCATCCTTTTTTAGAGCCAGGGCTTTCTGGTAAGTTGGGTAAAGCATGGGAAAGGAAGGTATAGGTGGCAGAGTTGGTTCAGCAAGGTGGGGTTGAGGCTGTGAGAGAAGTCCATCTTTAAAATGAGGCCTGACACCTGGCCATTGACACCGAGTCAGGGAAGCTGCTAGGTGCTTGACCTGCCTCCTGAGAGGGAGAAGCAGGGCGAGCCTATTGTTAGAGTCTGCAGTTGAGGCCAGAGAGCACTGAGCTGAGCCCAGTGGACAGCAGCGCTGACCCTTGTGCCCAGGTTGGGTGGACAAATGGCAAGAAGTCCACATGTGGTTCTTTCTCACAGCTGCCCGGAAACACGCAAAGGAGGAGTCTGAGGCTGCTGCGCTGGAACAGGCCATCCCGGTGCGGCAACAGGCCGCAGTAAGTGCTACCTTTTCCCCTTTTCAGATGTAGTCATGTTTGGGGGTTTTCCTGGACCACTATCAGAGGGCTCGCTCTACATCCGAGCTTGAATAGTCTCTTTTGCAGTCGGCGCCCACTCTCTTCTCAAATTAAGTGATATTTGAATCTTGAATGGTCTTTTCTTTGGGGGGGGGGGGATTTCGAGACAGGGTTTCTCCGTAGCTTTTTGGTTCCTGTCCTGGAATTAGACCAGGCTGGACTCGAACTCACAGAGATCTGCCTGCCTCTGCCTCCTGGGAAAATGCTGGGATTAAAGGCGCGCGCCACCACCACCTGCCCTTGAATTTTCTTAAGATTTCTTAGTGTCTTTGGTAAACCCTCTTAGCACTGGGCTATGGCCTGGCTGAGGACATTGCTGTGCCCCAGTCTACCCTAGAGAAGCCTCTTTTTTTCTTCATTTCTGGGGGGGGGGATTGGGTGGGTGTCATTATCCCCTATCTCCCATCATCCCCAAGACAGGGTTTCCCTGTGTAACCCTGGCTGTCCTGGTATTCATCTGTAGACCAGGCTGGTCTTGAACTCACAGAGATCTACCTGCCTCTGCCTCCCAAGTGCTGGGATTAAAGGTATTAAAGGTATGTGCCACCACGCCTTTAATCCATTCTTAATTCCATTCTTAAAGTCTTGCCTTAGTTGACCTGATAGCATTGTCAATTAGGAACTTGTCCCTAAATTCCAGCCTCAGCTCCCTTCCCTGCTGCTGAAGCAGCTTGAGTTCCCAGCTCATACAGGTTGAGCATCGCACATCCCAGTCTGATACCTGATATCTGAAATGCCCACTTTCCATGACTTTCTTAGTGCTGACCACAAGTGGAAACTTCCGTGCTGTCCAGAAGTGCTCGAGGTTGCATGGAATTGTCTGCAGGCTGTATGTCTAAGTGAATCTCACGTTTAGACTGGGCTGGACCTCCCAGTGATGCAAAGTGCAAGATCTCTGCTCGCACATTCTCATGCAGCCCTCCTTGCTTGTTCACCTTGCAGCTAGAAAATGCCACTAAGAAGAGAGAGAGAGCCACAAGTGACCTGAGGACCACAGAACAAAAGCAGGAGAAGAAACGGTTGAAAAGCTCCAAGAAACCCAAGGATCCAGACCCCCCAGGAAAGGATTTCACACCTTACGACTACAACCAGTCAGACTTCAGGGCCTTTGCTGGTAAGGACAGAGAGAACACTAAGGAGATGCATGGCCATTTGAGGTGCAGGGAGTGCAGCTTCCCTCAGAGTGAGCCCCGCCCAGGACACAGGATGAGTCATGGCACCGAGAGAAGCTGCAAGCTCTCCTTGAAGCAGATCTCAGTAGCCATTGTCCGTGGCTCAGCAGGGGGTCCTCCATTGTGACCCTTATTTAGGTTCCCCTCCCACATCCATAGGATCTAGGTTGAAGGCCCTGCTCACGAAGCCCACACACAGTGACCTCTTGTGACCCCTTAGCCCTGAGGTCCCTGTAATGTGAAGGATGCGCGTGTGGCACTCATGATTTTGTAGCAGCCTCTAGAGCTTGGAAAAGTGAGAGAGCAGACTGGACAGCCACACACTGAACGCTGTCAGGAGTGTTGCCACAACCCACATTGTCCTGGATCGTAGTGATGCTGACTCCTGACCCTACTAGCCTGGGAACAGACCTGTGGGTGGCATAGTAGTCTCTAGCGCAGAGTTTGGAAAAGGTGCTCCCTGGAGCCCAGAACTCTGGCCTGTCAGCCTGTGTTCGCTCACTGCCGTGATTGCTTTTGCTTTCAGGGGACAGCAAATCCAAGCCCTCCTCCCAGTTTGACCCAAATAAGCCGGCACCTTCTGGCAAGGTAAGGCTTCAGATGGAACCTGCCGCCTGTGGTGCTCTTGTCCTCCTGGACCGCAGTGGCAAGCCGAGACTCCTTCCCTACTAGACAGTGCTGCCAGCGGTCCCACAGTCACTGTTTTATTGTTAACGTGACAAGTGCGCCAAGGTCAGGGTAGCGTTGGGTTGTCTGGCCTTCCACCGTGGGCTCCGAGGCTCTCAAGTCACTGGCCTTGTGTGGCTGAGCTGTCCTGCTGACTCCTGTGTCAGCATTTTAAAAACACAATGAACACTATAGTGCAGGTCACCTTTTTGGTGTGGGTGGGTATAGTATGTTTTGTCCTTTGTTGAAATGGAGTCCTTCCATCTGCCACCGGGTCCCCGAGGTGATGCCCTACAGTGAAGGGGCTGTGTGGGTAACTGCTGGCTACATCAGGTCTGTGCTAACCAGGCTGAATTTGAGGTGTAGTAAGTAGTGGGCAGGACTGTGCAGAGCCCTCCTGTCCCTGTCAGCTCAGCCTGCAAACCACATGCTGGGGTGAGAACTGACTGCCCATGCATGCTCAGGTATCTTCCCCAGGGCTGGTGGCTGAGGCCGGTGTCAGAGTACAGAACTCTTCTCTTTCAGAAATGTGTTGCAGCCAAGAAATGTAAACAGTCGATGGGGAACAAAAGCATGTCGTTTCTGGCTGGGAAGTCAGACAGGTAGGTGACAGTCAGCCCCCCTGTACCTGGGAACAGCAGGAGAGTGCAGCACCAGGGTTTCCAGCAGTGCTCTGTCACCCAGAAAGCAGGAGCACACATGACCTGCGTCGTGCCAGCGTCACTCTCCCATGACGTGATGTCCTGCATCCCAGACCTCACTTTCGAGCACTCTCCCATTTTCCTTTCTTAGACTGTAGTTTCTCACTGGGTGCCCTCACTTCAGCACATGGGTGGGAATTTTTCCCACACCAACGTGTTTCTTAGGGGTGAGAGAAATCAGCAAGTGGGTCTCACTGGTGTTTTCATAGCATGACCTTGAGCTCAGGTTCCCACACGTGACGCAGGACAGACCTGCTGCCACAGCGCCCACACAGCTCAGCGCCCAAGCGTAGGCTCATGCTGCTCTCCTGCTCGGCCCTCCTTTGCGGTGTATTACTCAGATCTGCACAGCACCTAAACATGAGGAAGTAACCCTGTTCTCATCTATCTCCGCAGAGGCTTCCGGCACAACTGGCCAAAGAGATAGTGTTGGAGAGATTCCTGGAGCTGCAGGCAGTGTTACTTTGTACAAACCCATTTTAATTTTAGAATCATTAAAATCCATTCCTACTGATAGAATGCTGGTTCTGGCTTTTTTGGCTTGGCTTGGCTTGCTTTCATTTCAACCCAGCTCTGGCATAAAGAGCAGTGTCACCCTGTTCAGAGACTGGGAGAGGAGCATACCCAAACAGGGTGCCCGGAAACCCAAGGCTACGCACAAAGGAGCGCTACCCAGCTGGTGGGGCAGCTCTGCCTCAGCTACTTAGGAAGTACTATTGGGAGGGCCAACTGTGCCTCTCCTTTAACTCTTGACTTGGGTGGCAGGGGTAGCGGAAGTCTGGGGCATGGTCTCACTCTGTCATCCAGTCATGGCTAGCATAAAACTTACAGTCCTGCCTCCTTCTCCAAGTGCTGGGCTCGCAAGTGTCTGCCACTACGTCTAGCAGTACTGTTTCTTCCTTCTCTCTAAGGCAGGGTTTCACTTTGTAGCCCAGGCTAGCTTCAAACTCACCGGCTACCCTTGTGCCTCAGCCTTCAGAGCACTGTGATGGCAGGCGCATGCCACCACAGCCAGGTCTCATCAGGCTGGGGTTTAACTTAGGGTCTCACACTGCTAGGCAAGTGGCCCCACTGAGGAATATCCCTAGACCTTTGACATCTTGTTTTTTTTTTTTTAACACTATTTATTTATTATGTGTCTGCACAGTCTAGTGTGGGGGTCAAAGGACAATTTATGGGAATCGGTTCTCTCCTTCCACTATGTGGGTCTTGAAGATCCAACTCAGGTTGCCAAGCTTGGTGGCAAGTACCTTTACCCACTGAGACAGAGTCTTAAGGCCCAGGCTGGCTTCAGACTTGTTGTGTATTCAAGAATGACCCTGAACTCCTGATTCTCCTGCCTCCATTTCCTGAGTGCTGGGACATTTTTTGTAGTATTTGTAATATACTGAAAGGCTTTTCTGGGGGCTGGAGAGATGGCCCAGTGGTTATGATCAACTGATCTTCCAGAGGACCTGGGTTCAATTTCCAGCACCCACATGGCGGTTCACAACTGTCTGTGATCTGGCCCCTTGCTCAGACATACATGCAGGCAAAAATGTCAATGCACATGAAAAATAAATTTAAACCAGGCGGTGGTGGCAGTGTCTTTAATCCTGGCACTCGAGAGGCAGAGGTAGGTGGATCTCTTAAATTTAAAAGCAAAAGGCTTTTCTAGATAAATATATAGAGAGAGAGAGATTTTATATATTTGTGTTATATATCTATATATAGATATGTATTTTTTAATAAGTGCTCTGCATGTATACCTACCTGTATGTTAGAAGAGAACCAAAGCATTATGAGATTAGTGGCAATATAATAGTCCCTTAATTTTGGTTTTTCTTCCATCCCATACCATGTGGCTTTTCTGACATGAGACAGAGTTTGGATTTTCCTTTAACAAGCATGCTTGGGGTTTGAGAAGGAGAGAGCCACACCCTAACTCCAAAGCCTGCTTTAATTTTTAATTGAACTGGGACTTTTAAAAAGACCATTTGACTTATATCTCTGTAGAGAAAAGCAAAGCAAACATTTGGGAAGACTTATGCAACTTTATCCTGTGGAAATGTGTTGGATCATTAGGCTGGTTTACTCCTTTTCTTAGGACATTTTCTCTGCAGGGTTTGTCCTTTTTCTTCAGGTGTCTCATTTGTCCAGTGGTCTTCAGATCCCTTAGTTGGATCTTTATTCTCCTGGAAAGATAAAAACAAAAACTTTATTCTCCTGGAAAGATAAAAACAAAACCTTGCCCCAACCCTAACTTTGAAGAGTTTCCCTTTTTGGTAGGTTATATCAGGTCAAATGAAACATATTTGCCAGTCTTATAAGTTACTTTAGATTGAATGGCCACATTGTTTGATGAACTATAGCCCCTTCTAATCAAGAGGTTTCTCTTGTTCGAATCTCATCTTTATCAATTTTGGTGGTTTCCATACCTTATCTTCTCCTGTGGAAATAAAAGCAAAACCTCTTCCTCAACGTAACACTTAACTGTTTTCCATTCTGAGTTCAGCACATTCTTAAAGTATGCAGGCTAACTTAGCTCAGCAGGTTTTTTCCTACCATCCACTGTCTCCACAGCTGCTGTTCCTTTTTCATAGCATTTTGAGCAGTCTATCTCGGGGGGTCTTTATTACCCCTTTCTGTTTATAAAGCCTATCCTTTAGAGTTTGATTAGATGTTTCTATAACTGCTTGTCCTGTAGAATTGTGTGGCGTACCCGTAATAGCTTCTGTTGTCCTTTACTAGAGACATGCTGGAGCCTTGTCAGTCTTAATTTGTACAGGTAACTTCTAATAAATGTGGAGTTACAGAATCAGCCTATTCAGAATTCAAAGCAGTTGCCCATTGAAATCCTGAATCTATGGTATGATGTACATATTTTAATTTTCTAAACTCTACCAAATAAAACACATCCATTTACCAAATTACATTTCTTTGAGTACCCTGAGGCTTATTTCCTGCAGGTAGTGGTGTTTGGTTATACAAAGAACAGGTAGGACATCCCCTTATAATTTCTTTGGCTTCCACAGAGAAACCCGGTCTTGAAAAACCCAAAAAAAAAAAAAAAAAAAATTTCTTTGGCTTGTTGTCAAGTGATAGGAAAAAACTCTTTCTTATGAAACTCAGAGGTTTCTAGCACATTTCCTACTAATGATTGATCAATTTCATCATTACCTTGGGCAAGAGAGCCTTTGCCCAGTTAGCTCAGTCAGGACAGACTAAAGCTATAGAGAAACCCTGTCTTGAAAAACTAAAAAGAAAAGAAATTCATTGGGACTGCCAGCCCACAAATAACGACAGTCCCTGCTGCTGTCCTGGAACTCACTCTATAGACCAGACTGACCTCGAACTCACAGAGATCCACCTGCCTCTGCCTCCCAAGTGCTGGGATGAAAGTTGTGTGCCACCACCGCCCAGCTTCTTATTAATTATGAAAGCTCAACCGGAAAGAAAGTTCAACCAATTGCTTAGGCTTATTTCTAAATAAACTAATTTGTATTAAACTATGATCTGTCCTATGGTGTTACTTCTCTTCCATCTTGCATCTCCCATTTCCCTTCTTTGTCTCCTGGTATCTCCTCCCTTCTTCCCATCATATACTCTCTGTCCCCAGATGTCCTGCTGAACCTCTTCCTAGCCATTGGCTGCTCAGCTTTTTGTTCCGTCAATCACAGCAATACATTTTCACACAGTGTACAGACATCCCAGAACAGTGAGTGCTGAAGAGCAAGGAGCACATAATCTGCTAACCCATGGCAGTCTAACTAACTACAGTGGTGGGCACTTTCCATAGAGAGACTGAGGGCAGGAGATGCTCAGGAGGGCACTGGGCTGTGCCCATAAGTGGAAAGGAAGAAGCAGGCCTGGTGGCTGTAATCTTAGCCCTCAGGAGGAGGAGGCAGGAAGATCATGAGGTCTTGGACAGCCTGATCTACATAAGAAAACCCTGAAGAAGAGGCAGGAACTGAAGTGGAGGAACATGCCCACTGGTTGCTCCTCATGGCTTGCTCAGCCTACTTTCTTTCTTAGACACCCAGGGCCACCTGCCCAGGGTGGGGACCACCCACAGTGGGCTGGGCCCTTTCTTGGCAATCATCAATAAAGAAAATATCCCACAGGCCAATCTGGGTGGTAGAGTACTCTTGACTGAGGTTCCCCCTTATCAGATGTCTCCAGCTGTGTCAACTAGATAGCTAGCCAGCACAGGCAATAAATTTTTAAATTTTTCCTTTCTGGGACAAAAGGTGGGCGTGAGGAGGGAGCCCTGGCAGATTGGAAAACAGTTGTAGCTCAGGCCGCTGATCACTTGAACAGACCTAGGATGACCAAGTTGGAGGAAAGCAGGAGGTATAGACCCTGATATGCTGAAGACGGACCTAGTCGGGGCACGGGAAGGCCCTTTGCTCACAGGTGCTGTTCAACTGCCAAATAGGCTCTGCTCACATTCAGCCATGGTGGCGGTTACCAGCTAAACCCATGCTCTGCCCCCATTCAGCCGCAGCATTTACTGGCTAAACCCAGTGCTTCGAAAGATTCGCCGAAGCTGTGTGGAATGGCACATGTGTTTAACCCCAGCACTCAGGATGGAGAAGCTGACCAATCTCTTGATCTAGCCAGTCTCCACAGTGACATACACCATGTGGCAGTCCCATGGCCACTATTCATTGACAGGCTCACCTTGCCACTGCCTCAGCCTGCCTTCTCACCCTTTGTCCGCAAGCACCTGAGAGTGAGGCGTGGCTGAGGCTTGTGTTCTATTTTCTGCCTGGCATCTGATTTTCAGTATCACTTTTTATGTGGACTGGGTAGTGAGACTAAAAGCCGAACCACAGCTTTTCCTCTTGGTCACCAGCTGGCTGGTGCTTCTCGGTTGCTGTGCATTCAGGGAGGATTTTGTTTGTTTTTTGGGTTTGTTTTGTTTTGTTTTTTGAGGCAGGGTTTCTCTGTAGCTTTGGAGCCTGTCCTGGAACTTGCTCCATAGACCAGGCTAGCCTTGAACTCAAAGAGGTAGCCTGCTTCTGCCTCCCAAGTGCTGGGATTAAAAGTGTGTTGCCACCACCACCGGCTTCAGGGAGGTTTTTGTTTGCAGGTCTTTATTTACTTTATGTATTTGTTTTGAGGGGGGGGTGGGTTGGTTTGTTTTTGTTTTCTTTGGGACAAGGTCTCCTATGGATCTCTGGTTTTCCTCTCTATAGATGGTTCCGAGAGATTCAAGCCTCTGACTCTTCGGTGTTAGTATTAAAGATGTATGCCACAATGCCTGGCTTTACTTGCAGTTTTTTCAGTACCTCCATCTTCCTAAACCTGAAAGGCACATGCCTGGAGGGTACATGCTGGACCCTTGTTCCCAGGGAAGGGATGGACCGGACCCAGCTCAGCCTGTCATCAGGGGCTGGCATCTCCAGGAACCATCCCTACCCCTGTGGCAATCTGCATTCTGGCTCAGAGCTCCTGGCAAGTGAACAGCCAGTTATAGCCCAGAGGCCGAGCTGCCATGCACTCTACCAAGTACAGGCTATCCCAGTCAAGCCTGT